TCCTCTCGCTCCCTCTTTCTCTCCTCCACTCTCTCTCTATCAAATTTTTCCTTTAACTTCATCTCCAGTTCTCTCTCCTCTCTCGCTCTCTCCTCGCTCTCCCTCTTTCTCTCCGCCTCTCTCTCTCTCTCATATCTTTCCTGCATTTCTCTCTCCATTTTTTCAATTTCTTTTTGCATTTCTTCTTCTTTCTTTCTCAAGAGGCATTGTTTCTCCTCTTCAATAGCCCTCTCAGCCTCTTGGAACATCTCGTTGGTGTAGTGGCTTCCTCCGTTCTTCTGGACTATCTCGCTAATCTTCTGGAAAAGCTCAGTGACCTGAGAGCGCTCCTCCAGTTTATTATTGAAGACGTGGTACTGACCATTATATCTGGCCACGAGTTCCTGCAGTTTTGCGCTGCCGTGTAAGAACTCTTCAATAGAGTATTCAAGTTCGTCGCCACCGGTAAAGAGAACCATGCTGTATTTGTCTGCTGCAGGGCCAAAGAGTTTTTGAATCGTTTGCACCGCCTGCTTTTCCTCATCAGTGTATCTGTTCAGTTTCATGACCACCAAGAAGATGTGGGGTCCTGGAGAAGCATATAAGATGGACTGGCATACAGTTTTATTTGTTTCCTCTTGATCAACTGTGGTATCAATCAGCCCTGGGGTGTCAATGACAGCAACGTGACGTCCATCCACTGTTGCTTTTCTTTTGGAACACTTTACAGTCACAGATTCGGGATATAGCATTGATTTAAAAGATTTAGTACCCAGAATGGTGTTTCCGCTAGCACTCTTTCCACTTCCAGTCTTCCCCAACATCACAATCCGCACCTCTTCATTATTTGTCCTGTTGGATTCTGTTTAGAAAGGTGGGGAAAATATATTATGCATATTATACTTGTTTATCCACCACTCGCTGACACTGAAAGACCTTTTAAAAGAAACCTGACTTGATTTGGAATGTAACACCTTCTACATACAGAAAATATGCTTATTTGTTTGCATCTACAAAACTCCAAGATGTGGTGGTTAGTCTTTTAGATTATAAAACGTTAATTGAACATCTACAAAGATGGGTCGTAAGTAATCATTCTGCTTTTAATCCTGTGAGGTCATAGTCACCCTTAGTCAAGACCCTAACATTGTGCTTTGAGGAGATACAACTAATCCTGATTCATATTATCTATCTATCTGTCAGTATTATTTTAATTGTTCTCCAATCAGGAAAATCTGAAAGAAATTGAAAAAAATTAAAAATAAATTCCTTTTTTTTCAATTCAGTTTAATGACATACATCAAAACCTTTTTTCCTCACATCTTAAAATTACGATCAGAGTTTGAAGCAAGGATTAGAGGGTTCAAAGTTATTTCAAAACTATGGCTGCTGTCAATAAAATGACTTCTCTGTAGATGAGGGATAATATTCAGTTAAAATTTGAAAACATAACTTAAAAATGATGACTTACCAAATTTGCTGGCCATGTCTGGGATGAAATTGTTCCTCTCCTAAATACTGCAGTGTAGATACTTCATCTGAAAAGTGAAGACTGTGCTGCAGCTTATGTAACAGAAACAAACCACACCTACAGAAAAAAAA